CCCATTTGGATAGTAAAAGTGGCCCCTTGAGGTAAGGGTTATCATCTCCATTTTATAGTTAATGACTAAAATGTTACCTAATTTGTCTGACTCACAGTCACCATTACAAGGTTATAATCAATAGGAGTCTAAGGTCACCTTGTTAAAACACAGGGATCTTTTAAAGGAAAAGAAAGGCCAATTTTCTCACGGTTAGTTTTTCATCATGGGCACAGAGCTGCAGGCTTTGAAAGCTCTGTGATCCTCAAGTGGTCTTGCTCTAACTGGTCGAGTGTTTTTCACTACATAGGCACTTGTTTGTTATCAGAGCAACTGAAAAAGGCAATTAAATGACCACATGATCATAAATTATGGAACCCCACTCCAGTTAACCAGGCCACAGGGACTGCCCATTGACGAGCCAATAACGTCTAAACTCACTCTTGTCCTTTCTGCGGTCCTGCTTAGCAGTCCCTGCACCCCTAGTCTACTCACGGACATGCCCTGGTCTTGTGCCTTCCTCCACACTCCCTGTTCGGGGTGCCCTTCTTCGCTCTTCCAGCACGTGGCTCACTCCTCTGGTCCTACTGGTAGTACTTCTCTTGACATCCTTACCACCACATTCCCGGTTTCCCTTGGCTCGCTGGCCACTCCTTGTTAGTCTCCTCTGTTCGTTACTTCCCCCCTTTCTGCTCTCTAAAGAGGGAAGCTTCTCAAGATCCCTTCCTGGTATCTCTTATCCGGTCATTCTGCCTCCTCCGCCAGGCAATCGCTGAAATATTGTGAAACGTGGATTGTTGTTAGTTGCTGTGGTGTTGATTCCAATCCACAGCAACCTCATCGGGCGCCCGGGGCTGCAAGCCGCACGGCTGGCAGTTTAAACTCACCAGCCACTCCTCCGGAAAAAGACGGGGCTTTCAACTCCCGTACACAGTCACAGTATGGAGGGAAATGCCGGGGCAGGCGGTTCTACCCGGTCCTATAGGGCAGCTACGAGTCGCCATCGACCCGATGGCAGTGAGTGGAATGTGTTCATGTGACCGAGGTAGAGTAGAACTGGCCCATCGGTTTTCTAGGCTATAAGAAAGATGAGTTTTTCTCTTATCAAGATTTACAGTCTTGGAAACCCACAGGGCAGTTCTATTGTCTGGGGCGCTATGTGTCGGGCCTGACTTGCCGGGGCAATTTTGGATTGGAGTTTTCAGTCGTTAACACAGCAAATCACCGGGGTTTCCTCCTGTGGAGCCCCTGCACGGGTTTGAACCATCAGCCTTTCAGCCAGCAGCCACAGAGCTGACCACTGCACCAGCAGCAGGGCTCCTTTAAGACGGAGAGCTCTGCTCCTCAGTTTCCATTTCCAGCCAGACCTAACCCCCCAAACTGCAGACAGCCAAACACTGATTTTCTGGACGCTGTCACAACCGTCTCAGATTTAACGTGCTTCACGCCGTGGGCTTTCTCTCCAGCACGGCTCCTCTTCCAGGCTTCCATTTCAGGGCCACGCTCGCCTACCTAGTGGTCCCTGCGAAAGACATCAGAACCATCGTCCTCTGAGACCTCCTCATGCTTCAGAAATTTCCTCTACTGCCAGTTAGAATCCCCAAGCGTCTCAAATCCATTGCCATCTTCACTTGATCTCAGCCCAAAGCCAAGAAGCGATCCATCGCCTCCTCCTTACCCACTGCAGTCACCTCCAGCTGTCCTCGAGGTCACTGCAACAGCCTCACCGCCGGGTTCCTCTACTTGTGCTTTTGTCCATCGGAGAGGAGAGCCTGTCACTTTCTGCCCTCACGGGATAAAATAAAAAATGCGTGTGCACTTATCATGCATTCTTACTAATACAGCTACGTCTATGGAAGACTGAGTGAGTAGGCTCCTGCCTCCTCCCACATGGAATTTCCTGCCACGTCCTGGGGACTTCCTTCTTTGCATCTCAGCCATGAGGTCTCTTAACTGTGTCTGTTATGATCGGAGCGAACGTGCACAGAGCAAGTCACTTCTGTCCAAATCACTCCTACACTTTATTTCTGACACCAATCACCATTCACACAATGGAGTAGCACTCCGGTCTCCCTCCCTGTGCTGTTACCATGCATCTTTCATTTTCACCCCTTAAACCAGCGGTTCTCAACTTGTGGGTCCCGACCCCTTTGGGGGTTCAATGACCCTTTCACAGGGGTCGCCTGATTCATAACAGTTGCAAAATTACAGTTATGAAGTAGCAACATAAATAATTTTATGGTTGGGGGGTCACCACAACATGAGGAACTGTATTACTGGGTGGCAGCATTAGGAAGGTTGAGAACCACCGCCTTAAATGGTCTTCATTAATTAATGGAAACACCACTTTCTTTTTCCTGACGTATAAATTCTTCTGCCTGGAATACATTTCCTTTTACCTTGCTATGCCTGTCCTTACTATACTCTCATTTCTTCTTCAAAAAAATCTGTTATTTGTATGATTTTCCCCACATTGTAGGTGCTTAATATGTATTTGTTGAAAGAATGAACCATCACAGTACACTATGATTTCAATTCATTTAACTTTCCTGACCGAGGCTGATCCCATGACAAACAGAACCCTAGTCATGCTTTTCCAGTGCTGATTGGAGAGGCACATGCTGTATTAGGTGCTGCCAGGTCAGAGCTGAAGTGTGGGGACCCTGTGCACAACAGGACAATACACTGCCGGCCCTGTGCCACCCCCACAATCGTCACGTTGGAGCCCATCGATGCAGCCACCCTGGCAAGCCACCTTGTTCCAAGTCTTCTTTTTTTGCTGCCTCTAGTTTACCAAGCATGATGTCCTTTTCCAGGGACTGGTCTCTCCTGATAAATACCCAAAGTAGGTAAGTCGGAATGTCACCGTCCTTGCTTCCCAGGAGCACTGTGCTGTACTTCCGAGAGAGATTTGCTGGTGCTTTTGGCAGTCCATGGCACCGTCAACATTCTGTGCCAGCACCGTAATTCAAAGGCAATGATTCCCTGCCAGTCGTTCTTATTCAGTGTCCAACTTTCACAAGCATACGAGGTGGTGGGAAATGCCCTGGCTTGGGTTAGGCGCACCTTAGTCCTCAAAGCAACATCCTTACTTTTCAACACTTAAGAGAGGTCTTGTGCAGCACACTTGCCCAAGGAACTGTATCACTTGATCTCTTGACTGCTGCCTCCACGACCAATGATCGTGGATCCAAGCAAGATGGTATCCCAGACGGCTTCAACCTCTTCTTTGCTTATCATGATGTTACCTATCGGTCCAGTTGCAAGTATTTTGGTTTCTTTACATTAAGTTGGAATCCATACTAAAGGCTGCAATCCTTGATCTTCATCAGCAAGTGCTTCAGGTCCTCTTTACTTTCAGTAAACAAGGTTGTGTTATATGCATATCGAAGGTTATTAATAAGCCACCACTTGTCTGTCGGCTTGTTGTGCTGTGGTGGCTTGCATGTTGCTGTGCTGCTGGAAGCTGTGTCACTGGTATTTCAGATACCAGCAGGGCCACCCAACGTGAACAGGTTTCAGCAGAGCTTCTGGACTAGAACAGACTATGAAGAAAAAATAGGCAGTCCACTTCTGAGGAATTAATTAGCCACTGAAAATCTTATTCATAGCATTGAAACATCATCAGATACTGAAATGCATAGTAGTTATTCATAAATGCCTGTTTAAAAATAAAAATGGTCTAAAATTGTACAAAGAATAGTAAATTGGACTTAAAAATTTAACACTACAACGGTTTTAACTTAGGGATTTAATAATTAATCGAATCTATTTCTGGCTCTGAGAATTTAAACTGGTTTTAATTAAGTGAAAGAAACATGCCTAAAGATAATTAACTAAAGAACGTAACACTTTCTCTTTCAAACTGACAGATACTTAAGAGTCAGTATATTATCAAATTTTGTTCCCATACACTTTTAATGACTAAAAAAACCTACTGTCCAAGACAAGCGGTTACAACTATCAAATGCACAATGGCCAGTTTCATATAACACTAAAGAACAATGAGATCCAAAGGCTTATGCAGCTTAACTTTTTTTTGGGGGGGGAGGGGATCTAATATCTTCATTGTCAGGGTCCCTCCGTCTTCCAATCTATAGAAAAACCCCACACCTGGGTGAGTCCTGGGGCGGAGAGGCAGGGGGTGTGGAGACCGCTGTGCTCCGGGGCACGGGGAGGCTGCCAGCTCTCCTCTGGTACCCACTGGGGGTAGGCACCCAGCGATGCATGCCCTTTTGCCGGTGGCCTTCATCCTGCCAGGCTGCTTCCTGCAAGGCACCGTCCCCAGATCTGTGTCCTGGCTGTGCTCCAGCTCCTCCTCGCTGTGTGTCAGCAGTCCCTCCTCATCACCATCGTCTCGGGCCTGGGCTTCTCCCTAGGGCGTGCCTGCCTCGGAAGCCGTGTCCTCCTGAGGGGCTGGTGGCCGGCTGTTACTGCCGCTGCCACCACCACCGCTGTTGCTGCTTCCGCCACCACCACCGCTTTCCCCCTTCCTCTTGCCATCTGGGCTGGCCTTTTGCTCCTCGGCAATCTGCTCGGCCCAGCAGGGCGTCGATGCTGGACCTGATCTGTGTCAGCTCTGTCTTTATGTTCTGCAGCTCACTGCTCTTTAACCTGACCTTGCTGAGCCGCTGCCGATGGCTGTGGAGCGGGCAAAGAGCTTGACAGGTATGGTAGCTTTGACACACCGGACCAAAGGGACTGTGACCCGGGGTCGCTTCACGGGGACCGCCCTGGGCACTGGCACAGGTGACAGATGGCCCCTATAGTCGAAGAGCCTATATATGGCAGATGCTGCTCTGTTGAGCCCCTTGGGTCTGTTGGGCTTGGGTTCTCCGGCATGTTGATGTCCAGGGTCTGCCCAGTCAGCACTCACCCGTTCTCTCCGCTCGTTAGCATGCTGGACAAAGGCATACCCCGTGTGCACGGAGCAGCCAGTCACACGGCCGTACTTGGAGAAGATGGTCTCCACTTCGGACTTCTTCACCACAGCCGTGTTGAGGTTTCCAGTGAAGACCGGTGAGTTGATGGACTTGGGGTCATTCTTGTTGGTTACGTTGCTCGTCTGAATCTTCAGGGACATGGTGGCCACCAGTATCACAGCTGAGTCAGCTGCTATCTCCTGCCTTGGGTTATAGGGTCAGCACCGGCTGCCTCAAGGAGCAGGACTTGCCTGCACCGAGAGCTCTCACAGTTTAACTTTTGTTGGAATTCTGAATCTTGATAGTCTTTCTGTTCCAGGGCTATCAATGGACCAGCAAGGTACAAAGCCGAGCATAAAGTAATGTGCAGTTAATTCGTATAATATAGCTAATTGCATAAAAGAATTCCATGAAACTAAATACCTATGTGAAAAGTGAATCTAAATACATTATCCACAGAATGTGGTTAGCTAGAGACGTGTGCTGACTAACACTATTTTGAGATGGCCATACAGTTGAGGAGGCGGAAGATGAGGAGCTAGCCAACCAGCAAGGTCGCATCTGGGTATGCCATTTCTACTCCTGGCAGCAAATTTAGTCATAAAATAGTGGAAGGCTAATGCTCTAGAAATACATCTTCAAGTAAGCATGGAAGGAACTGGGCAAACCTTCTGGTCTGCTCCTTGGCATTCACCTGCCATCTAAGTGCATTCCATCTGCTGAGTCCCATGGTGAGCCCCAAGGACGAGAAGGCATAATCTGCCTGCACGAACTTTCTATTTCAGCAGGGTAGACAGAGAGCCAGAATTAGGTGATAATGTATTACAGGAAACATTTCTATGGGAAATTAAAAGTTTCAATTTAAAAACAACTTTGTGCTTCAATTGTCATGTGAAAAGGAGCCGTGGTAGGAAGTCAAGAGCAATCACAGCACATCTTTACATAGCACTCACGAAGGAGCGATATCCAGATGGTTGATGCTGAATCCAGACGAGGCAAAGCCTCCCAGGCTTGTTGATATAGTTAGGAACACAACAGCCAATGAATAATCACAGCCAATAAAGCCAGCAGCTACCAGGAATATGGCAGGTCCAATCATCCCTGTAGGTGAAACAATTATAAAAAGAAAAAAACAAGTCCCAGAATTAATATTTGCTTGCTGTACCTTAATACAGTAAAAATATGAAATTTGACATTGCTGCCCCCTAGTGTAGAAACACTGCACTACAATAATAAAACAAAAAAATCACATAGGGTTTCATAGTGGGGAAAACTACTAGGAAAATAGGGGCATAATGCACTAATAGAAAAGTAAAAGTAAACTCTCATTATGTAATGTTATTAAATCTACATTTAGGCAGAACTCAGATAAAATTCTACTTATTGGAGAAAAGAACAAGAAGAGATTAATTGAAAAGACAGATGATGTAACTGACACAGAATGAAATGTGAAATTCACACATAGTTGAAGAACCCAAATGAAATAACTCAGTTGGAGTTAGAAGAATACTCTATCTCAATTTTAACAACGGAAACTACTACTGTACACACAGTTCCTTAGACAGTCAAACAGGAAATCTAAGGAATCAGTTTTTCCTCTGCCCACAGAGTGGACAGGACACACAGTCACTGGGATGGGCACGGTGTTACGTGTCCCAGCTAGCTGGATGTGGCCACTGAGTACCTGAAATGTGCTTAGTTTTAAATTTCAATGAGCTTAAATTTAAATATAGGTAGTCTCCTGCATAAGATATGTTTGTGTCGCCAGGAACAATCTCAAATCTGTTGCCTGGAAGCATGGACCCGAATGCTGGTCACTGCAAAATGAGATGTTGAAATATACGAAGGGAAAACGCAGGGCCAGGCAGACAACGCTCACTGATTTGCTGACTAGAAACACCAACTCCATTCCCGGGGAAAATCCAGGAAGCACAGCACTAGTGGAGTGGTTAGGAAAACTGATAAAATGCCCAGGCCGTCCAACTCGATGTTATCACGAGTACATTTTTATGATTTTTGTATTTTTTATGTCTGTATTACAATATACCTGTAAGTTTATATATAATGCTGCCAACCCCCTAAAGGCAAAAACCTGCATTATAAAGACTCTGATATTAAAGAGCAACAATAATGGGGGTGGGGTGGGGTGGGGGTCAGAGCTACTGGACTTATGGCAGAACTGACTTACAATGGCATCCTCAGAATAGATGGAACCCGGTGTTAACTCATAGCCTTCAACAGTATCTTTAGGAAATTGAAAGCAGCCTGGAACACATGATAATTTAAGATTGCTCTAGGTTCTCGTAGTTCTAGCCCATTGTTTACAATGACTTTGAGAAATAGTTGGGAAAAATATTGACTAAGAAATTTCTGAATACATGAAAAATGTAAGTATATTTTAAATTACTTTTAAATGAAAACAATTTTAAAATGTATTCACTTAAAGCAAGAATAGAAGTTAAAATAGTTTCACTGCAAATGGAGAGCTGAAGACAAAGAAATTTATAAAGTTCTAGGGATCACCAGCAAAACAAACCATTAAAAAAAATTAAGTCACTATGGGGAGCCCTGGTGGCACAGTGATTACATGTTGGGCTGCTGACTGCAGGGTTGGCAGTTCAAAACCACCAGCTCTCAGCAGGAGAAAGACGGGGCTTTCCACTCTCATAGGGGTTTGCAGTCTTGGAGACTCCCAGAGGCAGTCTTATCCTGTCATATACTATGAGTTAGCATTGAGTCGATGGCAGTAAGTTTTTAAAAATAAGAAAGAAAATCAAGTTAAGTCACTAAGGTGAACATATATTATTTAAATCCTAATCCTCAAAATGCAGTTCAAAAATGAGCAATACTTTTGTATAAAAATGTGCTAAATGCACTGCAGTGTTTTAATATTAGAACAAAGTAAAAAGCCATTCATAATTTTGCCTTACAATGTAAACAACTTAAATACAGACCAAAAGAAAACCTGATTTACTTACCCACCAGGCTAAAAAGTCTGCGAACACACAGAGTTGAAAAATGCCATTTTGCCCTTAAGTTGTCCGCAACTTGACCAGACAGGATTATACATAACCAACAGCCAAAATAAGGCACTGCAGATAAAAACCCATTCTGAAGGAAAGAGAAAATATAGGGCTAATTATGGGAGGAAAACACACACACACACACACACACACACACACACACACACACACACAGCCAACTAGCACTTCAAAACAAAGGGAATGCATGGTAATTGGCTGTTGATTTTCACATAATTATAGTATATCAGCAGCTTTCCGAATGATTACCAGACTCAATTCAGTACAGCTCTTAAGAGTCTGACTCTGGGAACCAGGTTCACACAGTCCAGTTTGCTCAAGGTAATCCTGACTACGCCCTTGGGCTTCCATGGGGGCTGGAGGAGCCCTGTAACCTCAGATGGGGCTTCCAACGGAGAAAATAAGTCTTCCTCACTGCCCCACTAAACAGTTTCTGTCTCCAATGTTAATTTCTTCATTTACTTAAAAAAATAGTTTGCTTACAAACTATAATACAGATAGAGAAAAACCACATAAATCAAATGTATGTTATTTATCTCCATGTACAACAGCCCCTTTTGCCATAGTATCAGAGAAACTGGATAGTGCCCTGCAATTATTACTGAATATTTTGATCAAAGATTACATAGAAGAATCCTGACCCCAAGGGGGATAATACAGATTTTAAAATTCTTACAGACGCCACACTTTCTGGAGTCATGGAGGCAGATGAACCCCTAAAACAACTGCCTTGAGGTCACCTTTAAACCTTAAACTATCCCACAAAGTCGTTTTAGAGCTAAACAAAGTAAAAGATGTATGCATTGTGCTCTTTTATGGGATCAAATTGACCAGGGCAGCTCAAAAGTTCAGACAGGAATCTTAGGGGCAGTGAGTTCATGCTGCTGTGGGAGCAGCAACTCTGGGTGCACAGCACAGAACAGAGTCAGTGACACTACACGACATGTGAGATCCTGGGTTTCACTGTGCAAATTCTCAACACATGTAAAATTTAAAGGGAAAAAACTTTTCCCAAACAACTTAAAACTACTAAAATGCTCAACATTTATCTAATTCATGCAAATCTCCATAGTTAGTAAGCTCTTTGTTCAAGGGTATGATTTTGTAGTCACTTATTTACAAACATGATTCTAAAATATTAATATTCAAAAGAGGATAACAGATTATTATGCCATCTCTCATTGAACTGTAACAAACAAGGATATGCTTATTGAGGGAAAACTAGGGAAAAAAGAAAAAGTAGGATAACTAAAGAAAAATGTATAATGCTATAAATATGTTAAGTTAATGAGATTTTAACAATGCTTCTCAAAGTTAAGTTTATTTTGAACAAAGGCTGTTTCATGAATATACAGTATTGAATTTTTAAAATCCATTAAAAATAAGCTTGTGTATAACTAGTTTTTTTGGTAAATCATTTTATTGTAGGCACTTACACCTCTTATAACAATCCACAGATTAATTGTATCAAGCACATTTGTACTTATGTTGCCATCATCCTTTTCAAAACATTTTCTTTCTACTTGAGCCCTTGATATCAGCTCCTCTTTTTTTCCCCTCCCTCCCCTACCCTCGTGACCCCTTGATACATGATAAATTATTATTTTCATATCTTACGCCGTCCTCTGGTGTGGGGGGGCAGGAATCTTATATGTTGATCATTGCGATCGGTTCTCCCATAATTATAGTATTTTTAAAAGAGCAGTATTCATACTTCTTTTTTTGTGTGCAAACCCTTCATATTCTTTTAGTTTTGATTCAGAAAGAGAATACCTTTTTTGTATCAAGATGCAAGTTAAAAGATTCTCGTCTTAAAAGTCTCTCACTACAGAAGTTGAGAAAAAAAAGCAGATGAAGGTAATTTAGTGTACAACACTAAAGACTTGCCAGCTATTGGTATTTTATTTTGTGGCCAGTTCTCTCAGAATTCCAAATAGAAACACCAGTAAAATGCTATTTAAGTATACTTATAAGTAAATGAAAAGTTTTGTTATGATATTGAGATTTGCTATTCTTAATTTGAGTATGGGCCTTAATTGGACTCCAAATCATAATTACCATATTAACTTTTTAACATACAATCCATCACTGCCAAGGACATATAGTTAGACACCATTACTAGAGAGTGGAGGAAAAACAAGGTAGTCCACACTCACTGAAAACTATTCTATCCCAGGCTGTTGCCCAAGCCTCGCTCGTATCTAGTTTGTGAAAACAGTTAGTGGACATACAAGCCAAATGATGTCACAACTTGGCTTTGCACAGACGAAGCTGAAGGCTTGGTCCACGTGAGCAACGTTTTCAATCTGTTTTGAAAGGTAGGTGACAGGAATTAACAGGCTTTCAAGTTCGCACGTCTAAGCAGTCAGTGCGGCCGTGCAGTGGCCTTTGTATTTTAAGAACCAGACCCCTGGCCATTCTTAACTGTGACCACTCAGGCTGCGTCTTTACTTTACAAGTTCTTTTTCAATTGGGGGCTAAATCAACTCCATGACATTGCACACCACACTCTGTTCACACATATACACATTGATTGATGGTCATCTGGCTTGTTCCTGATTTTCGACTATTCGGAATGATGCTGCTATGAACATTGATGGTGTGAAAGTTTTTGTATAGTTACATGTTCTCAGTTATCTTGGGTATAGACCTAGAAGTAAAATTACTAGGTCATATGGTATCTCTGTTGAACTTTTTGATTAAATGGCCAAACTGTTCTGCAGTGTCGGAACCATTTTATATTCTTATCCTTAATGGATGCAAGCTTCAATATCAGCATTATCCTTGTCATAATTTGTTATCCACCCTGCCTTACTCCTCCAATGAGAGCCACCTTAGTAGTTTGTAGTAGTGTCTTATTGTAGTTTTGATTTGTCATTTCCTGATGATTAGTATCTTTAGGATCCCCGATGCTGTCAGCTGTCAGGCCAGTGTCAGACTGCCACTGCAAGGTCAGTGGGTTCAAACCCCAACAGTCTCCCTGGAGAGAAAGACAGAGCAGTCTGCTCCCGGGAAGCAGTGCAGCCGGAGAAGCCCTGGGTAGGACGGCCATGACGGCAGTGGGTTTGGTTTTGGTGGGAGGTCTTCTGCACTCTGAAGTTTTAAATTTGGATGACCCCTAATTTATCAACTTTTAATTTTGTGGTTTACATTTTTGGTATTTAATTTTAGTTCTTACATTTAGATTTTTATCATTTACTTTGAAGGCAAAAACTATCAATTATAACAAACAAAAAAACACTATCAATTTTCTTTGCCAATTGTGCCTCTTACTGTGAAATTAAAAAAAAAAGAAAATTAAAGATAAGATTTACTCCTACATGGCACATACAGGCACTCTTGAATTAGTAATATGTTTTGCTGTGTATTTCTACAATAATAACAACAAATAAAAAGATGAGATTTACCTTAGATTCATCAGTGTAGATAAGAACTGTCTCAATTTGATGGTTTTGGAGGTAATTAGCATTTTACTTATACAGCTTGACAGTTTTACAGCTACAGCTCCTCTGAGAAGCTCTCCCAGCCTCCCCTCTCAGCTGCCCACAGAGTTCCACTACGTCATCTGATATCCTGGCATATTACTGGCAACGAGTTTTGCTTTTCTGGGTCAAGGGGATCAAGCGATAGATATGTTGAATCAAAAGTTAACACACAATGCGAGAAAAAGGGACAATGTGGAGGCCAAACAGAGAAGTGCCTAAAATTGAGCATATCAGAGTCAAACGGAAGATACAAACATCACTGAGTTTCACACAGATTACAAAACAAATTCTTTGGCTAGTTTAAACTTCATGTGCCACATAACGAAATAAGCAGGTGATGATGTCCCCTCACCTCCTGAACATTAAACCTCAGGATCTCCTTCATGTACGTAGGCAGCAGTGTCAGCAGCGTGTAAAAAGTCCAGTTGTAGGAAAAATGTGCTACTACGATGGCACACAGCGGCAGAGACCTGAGCATGGGGATCCAGGGCACCGACTTCTGGGAAGAGAGCTGTGGGGAACAGGCTCCATTAGCTGTGCTCCTGATCAGACCCACACTGCACGGCTACACTTTCCTCTAGACTACAAAGGGTCCTAGGCGCAAGTAGAAAATCCGATGTTTACATCAATTCCGGCGAAATATTAAATAGCAAAATACACATAAACTGTTGTTTATGTGAAAGCAACAAAGGTTTTTCCTGTTAAAATGAAAGAAATGTATACATTGCTATCTTATTTGTTCTTTGAAGTCATTTTAAAATCTACACAGCCTGAGCACATTAGTACATGTAGCTCAAAGATGAGTATGTATACGCTGTTCGTGTGTCCCCTTTGTTCACTGATGAGATGCATGATCAGACAAGTGTGGAGAACACTGGTTTGAAGTTTGGACGTTTAAGCCTGTGAAGTTTCTCCAAAGCAAGACCATCTCTGTTTCTTTCTCTAGGGTTCACGCTTCCTTCAAAAAGAACAACAGGCACAACCTTGCGAGCTGATTTTTTATTTGAAATCTTGTTAGATATGCTCCTGTGCTGCAGGGGAAGAAGGGGGAACATTTACTCTTCTAGAGCAGTAGTCCTCAATCCGCATTAGACTTCAGAATCACCTTTGACATGCTACAATTACAGAAGCCTGTGCCCCTCCCCGGAGCCCTGGTGGCCTAGTTGTTAAGCATTGGGCAGCTAACCACAAGGTGGAAGCCACCTGCTCCTCAGGAGAAAGAGAAGGCTTTCTACTCCCACAGAGTGACAGTCTCTGAAACCCACAGGGGCAGAACTCCTCGGTCTACCAGCTCTACCTTGACGGCAGAGTTTTGTTGAATGTGTATTCAAAGCCTGGGATCCACTCTGCAAAGCCTGGAATCCACTGCTGCAAAGCCTGGGATCCACTGCTGCAAAGCCTGGGATCCACTGCTGTCGAGATTAAAGAAAGGCTCCGAGGAGAGAGAAAAAGGCTCAGTCTCAAGATTCTGAAGGAGGATCGATCATAAGCTCTTTTTAAATGGCCTTGCAATCCACAAAGGGAATCAAAGTATACTTCTAGGTGGAAAGGTGTTAGTTTACATATAGTGGAGCAGACCCCTCACTGAAATACAACTTGTCATGTGAAACACTTAATAATTTAAAGATTTCTGCTATACTTTCATGTACTGACAGTTGAAATCAGAAGTAGACTTTCATTCCCTTTGTGGATGTTTTTGAAGAAGATTTTGCTCTGATACTAGCTTTTTGCCACAATTTAGACATAATCTGGTTTGTATAAATCCGGCAAAAAAGAAGTACTTAGAGCCATACTGGCATATTTTTACCATGTATATGTAGCAATTGCATTTTTGATAACCTATTTTTTAAAAAAATTATTTTATTGGGGGCTCTTTACAACTTTTATCACAATCCATACATCCATTCCTTGTGTTAAGCACATTTGTATATATGCTGCCATCATCAGTTTCAAAACATTTTCTTTCTACTTGTGCCCTTTGATAACAGCTCATTTCCCCCTACCCCCACCCTCCCTCATGAATCCTTGATAATTTATAAAAATCAGCCCTCCCCCACCTGCTATCTCCCTTCACCCATTTTTCTCTTGTCCACACCCCTAGGAAGGGGTTATAGGTAGATCATTGTGATCGGTTACCCCATTTCCCCCACCTTCTCCTTACCCCCCTGGTATCTCTATTCTCTTCATTGGTCCTGAGGGGGATAACCTATGTTTTTGACAAATCCCGGACCTTGACCAGCTATCTGTCAACCATGTAAATCTAACCCGCTGCAGGCTTCCAGTATCTGAATACAAAGCCACGGTTAGAATTTTGGAAGAAAGAGTAAGAGGGTGAGATAGGTGTTGCTGGGTGCCATCAAGTCGGTTCCAACTCAGGGCCCTTCTGAACAACAGAATGAAGCATCGCCTCGTCCTACACCATCCTCATAATGGCTGTGTTTGAGCCCACTGTTGGGGCGTAATGCCCCCCCCCAGGATTGGTCTCTCCTGGTAACTTGAGTCAGGCGCATTCTGGCTATAACCCTTCCAGACAGATATGGTCATCCTTCTGGCAGTCACGGTTTATTCAATATCACCAACACCGTCATTTAAACCAGCGGTTCTCAACCTGGGGGTCACGACCCCTTTGGGGG